TTTACCAAAATGATATTATATGCAAGAATTATATCTTGCTTTTTTTCACTGAACAGTACAGAATATCCATTCAAGTTAGATGATACAGGTCTAACTTATTCTTTTAGTAGATTTATAATGCTCTGTGTTACAAATATACCACAGTTTATTCACCCATTCTTCTATTAATGGTTATTCACTTTATTTTTCAGTGTTGTGCTGCTAGAAACAGAGATGAAATAAACACCCTTTATATGCTAGCACTTTTATTTCTATGGTGCAGAATCATAGGAATAGAACTGCTGAATCAAATGATGTGAATATATTTTTTTAAAAATATTGCCAGGTTGTTTCTCAAAAAGTACATTCTTCGAACAATGCATGTGAATATTCTTTTTCACAAATGTCCACCTACAGTTGGTATAAATCTTCCTTTAACATTTTTCAAACTGATGTGTAAAAAGAATGGTTTCGTTTTCCCTTTCATCTGTATTTTCCTAACTAGTAAAAAATTTGAACAGCTTTTTACTTGTTTATTGTTCATCTGGGCTTATTTCTCTATGAATTAACTTTTCAAATTTTTCATTCCTTTTTCTGTGGTATGCTTGTCTTATTGTTATCAATTTGCAAGCTCTCATTGTACATTACAGGTAATAACACTTTGACTGCCATTTGTGTTGCAAATATTTTCTCAACTGTTGGTTTTTACATATCGCCCCCTGAATTTTCTTATTCTATTTTTTACAAGTAGTGATTTAATCTACTACTTGGCCCAGAATTGACAGGGCCAAAGGTAAGGGCTTTATTTTATTTTATTTTTTATTTTATTTTATTTTATTTTATTTATTTTATTTTCAGGTAGAAAGCCAGTTTTTACCAGCATCATTTATGAACAGTCTTTTCCCATTGAATTTTAAAATACGATTTTTTTTTCCTGCCCCTAATCAGTTTGTCAATTTCCATGCCAGTTGCTTCCTCATTTGGTTTATGGTAATTTTATAGAATGGTTTATTATCTATTATGCATAATCCCTCCTCACTATTCTTGTTTTTTAAATTTTATCAGTGATACTGAATATTTATTCTTCAATATGATTTTTTAAATCATCTTGTCAAATTTCCCCCCTGAGTACACTCCAGGTTTTTAATTAGCATTGTGTTGAATTTGTGTATTAATTTTGAGCACATGGATGTTTTTACAATTTTAACTGTTCTCATCTAAAGTATGGCATCTTGATCTATTTGGTTAGGGAGTTTTATCTATTTATATGAAAATGTATGGGTTTTTTCATGTAGGTCCTATATATCTCCTGACGAATTTAATCCTAAGTATTTCATAGCTTTTTTTTTTTTTTAGCAAATAAGTGGTTATTGTCACACACACACACACACACAAAACTATTGCTTTTTAAATATCTCTTATATCATCAATTCTGAAACACACATTTTTAACATCTTTGAAAATGGGGCATATTCTATAATAATGACACCTTAAATCTGACTTGTTTTTTCCTTCTTGGTGGTTCATAAAGTAACAGATATCTTAAAATATATAATATCTTAGGTTCTTTGAAATATTACATGCCCAGTCAACTTACCAAATTTTCTTCTTCTAATTCATAATAGTGGAATTTTTTTTAGGTTTTCTAATACAGAAGTATATTATCTGCAATACGATGTCATTTTATCTCTTTTCCAAATTTATACCAATTATTTTACTTTCTTATTGAAGGTAAATATTGCTGTCTTCTTTTTATATTATGGAATGATTAGCACAAACAATTTTAATTGTTTGCTGTTGGTTTTTGGTAGGTTTTAATCATAGATAAGGAATGTTTTCATTTTTCCTATTTTACATAGTTTTTGTTAGGAATGCCTGAAGATTTTTAACAAATTCCTTCTAAGAATCTTGTCTTTATTGATGAAACATCATTTTTCTCTTGCAACATATAAAATCATGCTAATAATTGTCTTGATTTTCAAACATTCTTGCATTCCTGGAATTAATCCTACTTAGTGACAGTATATTATAGTTTCCATTTTTTGATACAATGCTGGGTTCCATTTCATTATATTTGAATTTGAATTTTTGCCACTATGTTCACAGGAAGTTGGACTGTAGTGTTTTATCAGCACTACCCTTACTAAGCATTAAGATTATGCTGGCTTTTTATGAGGTTTACTTAGCTTACATGATCTCTAAGGATTTGATCAAACTCAACCACAAAGACATCTGGTCCTATTAATTTCTTTAATGGTTTATTTTTATTAATTTTTCAGTATTTTGTATAGCATTTAGTAAACTAAAGGTGTTCTTTTAGATCAATTTGAGTGAACTACATTTATATAATATTCATTTTCTGTTACCAATTGTGTTACAATCGAGTTTCATGAAGTTTTTCTCATGACTTTTACTATCTTCCATATCTGTTATTGTCATTTTTCTCTTTTTTCTAATCTTTTATTATTTATTTTGCATCTTTTTTGTTTTTCCTTTAACCAGGCTTATGAGAGATATATCTATTTTATGGTCTTACCAAATAATCAGGTTCCAGGTTTATTTAGTCTTTCTGGATTTTCCATTTATTGTCTTGTTCATGAGTTTTTGATTTTATATTTATTAATACATTCCGATTTATATTATGGGTCCTTCAATTTCTCTTTTTTTTTTTTTTTTTTTTTTTGAGACAGAGTCTCATTCTGTCGCCCAGGCTGGAGTACAGTGGCACAATCTTGGCTCACTGCAACCTCTGCCTCCTGGGTTCAAGCAATTCTCCTGTCTCAGCCTCTCGAGTAGCTGGGATTACAGGCGTGTGCCATCATGCCTGGCTAATTTTTGTATATACATTTTTTTTTTGTAGAGATGGGGTTTCACCATGTTGGCCAGGCTGGTCTCGAGCTCCCGACCTCAGGTGATCCACCTGCCTTGGCCTTCCAGAGTGCTGGGATTACAGGTGTGAGCCACCACGCCCAGCCTTATGGGTCCTTAAATTTCTTAGGATGAGTACAAAGAACCCTTATTTTTACCTATCTCTTAATAATGATGCCACATATAGCTATAAATTGCATCTAAGTATAATGTTTCCTCAGTTTTACTATGTTTCATGAGTTTTGAGTTACATAGCTATTTGAGAACATGGATTGTAAAATCTCCACTTTTGTTTTTAAGACTTTTTGTGTTTGTTTTTGTTTGGCTATGAACGTGATCAATTTTTGTGAATATTCCAGAGATATTTAAAAAACAGTAGTATCTATTTGAAGGATGAAAAATTCTGTATTTGGCTAGTAGTCAATTTTATTGATTATAATATTTATTTCTTCTGTGTCATTACTTTTGTTTTTTCTACTTGATCTGATTTTGAATATGTATATTGGAATCTCTTTTTTTTTTTTTTTTTTTTGCTTTATAGTTTTTGCTTTTTTGCTTTACATTTAGTAGATACGCTATTTGGTGACTTCAGATTTAAAAAAGTAACTGAATAAAAATATATTGCCTGGCTTGGGAGAGATCATGGGCAGGGGTGGGGTTCTGATCACCATTTGACTATTATCCAAGGATTATATTAACCCACAGAAAATATTCTACTGAGTACTGCAGAGCAAGTTCAGCAAATATGCCCCACTCTATCTGAGCAATATAAGTAGACAAGAATTTGACTATCTGTCCAATTGTTTTTACAACTGCCTATGCTGAGGAGGGAGTGTGTTTAATGGTTTAGACTGGGGGCTGTTAAGGCAAACCGTATGCTCTTGAGTCAGACTGTAGCTCTTGAAATAGCTTTGTTCAGCTGTTTTCACACCTGGTAAATAGGAGATGACAATAACACAGCCTACTCTATAGCATTGTTGTGATAATTCAGTGATGGGATTCATGTGAAGCTCAGAGCCACACAAGCATCAAACACTAAAAAAAAAATCTATTAATATTATACTACGTTCTTGAGGCTCTCCTAGAACCATATACATAAATACGCTTTGAAAAGAACATGATATTACATATGAATATAAATCAGCAATAGCATTATTAAAGCAGATGAGAGCAATGCAAATGCTCCAGAAATATAATTATAGAGAGTAAAATTATATGAAATAACATGTAAAACAATGTCAAAACTTAAGTGCTAGTAAAATACAGTAAGTTCTTCAAGGACAAGGATCGTGTTCCATTCCTTTGAAATAGATCCACAGTTTTAAGCACAGAGATAGACACACTGCAGATTAAATCAAGCTATTTTTTGATTCTTTGTGAATAGGTACTGTTCTCAAATTCTTGGATTAAATTTTAAAAAATTCTAATTTACTATCTTATGTCTCTTTCTTACAAAAGGGACACCCCTAAAACGTCTTATAAAAATACTTTTAAAAATATCACTGTAGTAGTATCAGTCAAGGTTCACCATTCAGAACCTCAAAAAAAATAAATCAAAAACCATGCAACCTGACAAACTTTGAAAGACTTTAAAACTCTACCTTCATTTTCTCATACAGAGAATAGGTTTAAATTTTTAAAATATTAAGTATCTCAATTTCTTTGGTACTTTGAATCTCTATGAGTCAATAACTTGGTAGCACTATGCAAAGTTGTCTAAGGAGAAAACCAGGTGTTACAACTCCTGCCTTGAATGAGTTTCCATGCAGCTTCGGATTCAAAGCACACACTTAAAAACCTTTCTGAACCAATATATAAAGAGTACAACCTAATATTATGAAACTTGATTACCTGAGCACTGAGGGGAAGAAAACTGAAGAAGCTAGTAATGTGAGATAAAATTCACCATTGGTCATCTGAACTCTCCATCACCAGTAGTTCTCCAATGTTAGAATGCTAAAAATCACCAGACTCATTTGTTAAAATGCAGATTTCAAGTTCTAGTTCCAGAGATTCTCATTCAATAGGCCCACAATACCATCCAGGAATCAGGATTTTAATTAAATTCATAATCAGAAGAATGACATAATGTATCTTTTTCTTCCCCTACAAAAGTGAAACACAAAATAATGCTTGACATGCAAAGACGCGACATGCTCTTACTTCATGGTTATCTGCTTACCAGGAAAGAGGAAGTGAGACAATCTATGAGGACTCTTTTAGCTCTAGGAGACATATGTTTGTAAAAAGTCAAGCCATGTGAATAACGCAAACAAATTTAAAATGTACTAAACATCTCTACTATCTGGATTTTCCACCTTTTTTTTTCATAGATAAGTCTTCATGTATAGTAGACTATAGTATAATAACATAATATTCCTAATACCATTAAATATTGTCATCATCACAAATAAATTAAAAATCTACTAGCCAACTAGAAAATATTTACCGACCATATCACATTAAAGGACGATACAGACCAGGTGCGGTGGCTCAAGCCTATAATCCCAGTACTTTGGGAGGCCGAGGTGGGCAGATCACCTGAGATCAGGAGTTCGAGACCAGCCTGGCCAACATGGTGAAACCCCGTCTCTACTAAAAATACAAAAATTAGCCAGGCTTGGTGGCAGGCACCTGTAATCACAGCTTCCCGGGAGGCTGAGGCAGGAGAATCGCTTGGGCCTAGGAGGCGGAGGTTGCAGTGAGGCAAGATCACTCCACTGCACTCCAGCCTGGGCAACAGAGTGAGACTCTGACAAAAGAAAAAAAAAATTATATAATTAATACATAGAAAACACATATAAATCAATACCTAAAAGCTTTAACCATCTAATAGGAAAAGATGGAAAAAGACTGTAAGACAATTTACAGTATAAGACATATAATTGACTCAAGGAAACTCTTCAACTTCACTAATGTTTAAAGAAAAGAAAGCTATGAACAACAAGAATTTCAATTAGCAAAAACTATTTTCAATGACAGTAACTATTAAAAATAGTATTATGAAAAATGGACATTCTCATTCAGTCCTGTTATTGATTTTTTTTAATTTTCTGAAAAATAATTCGTAATACATATTAAGAACCTTCAAAAATTCAGATTGTTGCAGTAATTCTTGTTTAGAAGAAAATGCCAAGGAAATAGTAAGAAATTCAGATAAGAATCATTTCTAGAAATGTCCATTATAGCATTATTATAAGAGAAGTAAGTTAAAAACCATCTACATATAAAAATGAGAAGGTGATTGCATGATTATGGTCTACTCATATTATAGAAATAGTATATAATCATTAAAACTGTTTTGAAGAAAAATAACATAGGAAAATGTTCAGTATAAAACGTTAAGTGGAAAAAGGAGGATTAAAATTACATATTTGGAAAACATCCCAAATATTTGTTGTTTTTGTGTGTGTATAACTAGAAAAAATATGCTGAAATATTGCATGCTGTTTCTAAATAATGAAATTATTGGTAATTTCAGTTTTTCTCCATATATATATATATATATATATATATATATTTTTTTTTTTTTTGGATACGGAGTCTGACTCTGTCACCCAGGTTGGAGTGCAGTGGTGCAATCTCGACTGGCTGCAACCTTGCCACTGGGGTTCAAGCAATTCTCCTGCCTCAGCCTCCCAAGTAGCTGGGATTACAGGCACCCGCCACCATATCCGGCTAATTTTTGTAGTTTTTAGTAGAGACGGGGTTTCACCATCTTGGTCAGGCCAGTCTTCACCTCCTGACCTCGTGATCCACCCAACTTGGCCTCCCAAACTGCTGGGATTACAGGCGTGAGCAACCACCCCAGCCTTCTCCTTATAATTTTGTATGCTCCCTAAATATTCTAAGAGCTTATTTTTTAAGCTATTCTTTTGAGAGCTTAAAAAAGTTAATACCATAGCATGTCAAAGATTAATAGGGTAGAATCTGTTCCCAAAAATCAATTAAACACATCATTTCCAAGCAAAGGCAATTGAAAAGCAATTTTTCACAAGTATATGTAATCGGAACAAGGGCTAAATCAAGTCAAGGCACTATATCATTAGGAGTAATATAATCAGTTATGAATACTGCCATAACTTTAAATTAAAAGCCATATGCTTTTAATAATTATGTATTTGGGAAAACTTCAAGCAACAACTCTTTAAAGCTAATTTGTTTCTCTTAACAACTGAGGAAGAATTGATAGCTGAGAAAGTTGGAGGCCACCCAAGGAGAGAATTCAATGCCAACGAGGAAATCAAATTACTTGATTCACAAAATTGTTTTTTATTAAGCTTTTCCTATAGTCCAGATTGTCACTTGAAGGCTGGGAGAGCAACCACCTCCATAGTACTTAAAAGCCTAGTTGAAAGTAAAAAACCTGAAAGAGACTTCAAATCCGCAGGCAAGGAAGATTTGGAAAGACTTCACTGGTTTCTAAACCCAGTTACTACCCAGAAGCACCTACAGAGCTTGCTAACCCTAGATTCCTGACCCCATTCCTAGCGATTCAGAAGGTGGAAGGAAGGTTCAGGAATGTGATTTTAAAGATATATCCCTGGTAATTCTAATGAAGTTCAAGTCCTGAGACCAGCATCTGAGAACTGCTAATATAGAATCAACAAGGAATTTAGGCCCAAAGAAGTAAAGATCAATTACATAATTTAGTTAGTAACAAAGCAAGAAATGCATTTGGATACCTTGACTAGAAAACAATGCTTTTTCAATTACATTTTATATTCCTAAATCACTCTCCCAACAACAGAATAATAATAATGTAGGTTAGGTATAGGTATAGGACCAGGCAGCCTCAGTACCTGAGTTTCAATCTTACAATGAAAACTGGGAGGACCCACTTAAACCACAAAAGGAATTTGTGTGGCTCTTACAAAAATCCTAAATTTCAGAACATTTTCTATAGTAGCTTAGATAACTCAAAACCGAGTTTGAATACTAAGTAGCAGATACAGTGAGACTTTTTACTAGTTTACACTTTTTCGTTTTTCTTTTTGAAGATCACTCACCAAAAATCAGTGCGTATTTGTTGTGTGATATTACAGGTACAAAATAAGCAAATGTTGATTCCTTAGCTCTTTTATCCTTGGATGTTTTCACTAGTTGAGATTTTGAAATGGGGAATTATTAAAAGAAGTCATACAATTATGTCATATGAACTTTCACATCTGCAAGTAAAGGGATATTCTCTTTTTACTAGGCACCTACTATGCACCAAGTACACTTAGTTAATCTGCACAAACCTTGTTAAGCAATCATTATTGGTCCTCATTTTATTAGATCAAGAAATAAAAGGAATAAAAACTGGAGTAAATATTTTATTCAAGGCCACAAAACCAGAAAGTGGCCAAGTGGGAATTTGAATTCAGAACTGACAGTAATCTCAAGCTCTTTCTGCTTCCCCCTAACTCTCCCTTCCCCTTCATAACCAAAAATGTCTTTGTCAATAGAGGATATTTGAATAAAAGAGACAAATGTAAATGTTACTCTATATGCTAAACCTTTTCTGTACTTTACCAATAACTGTAATTCTTGATGCATTATGTTCTTCCCCAAGAGAAATAAAAAAGTACACTCTGCTTATTCTTTTTAAGTTATTATTATATAACTTTATAGGAAGACATTACAGATCTAAAATCATCTCCTTAGTATTTTAGTCCTTGAGTGACAACCTAAATTGTGCACTTGTTCTTTTTAAATGGCCATTGATTGCACGGTTGAAAAGGCTTTGTTATATCAGAGTGGTCTAAATTTTTGAAATTTCCCTGTGGGTCACTGTATTCTCTCAAGTGACACAACCTTTTCTAGAGAATTATGCTGAAATTGCAATGGAAGTTACAACAAGAATTTTACCAGTTGCCAGTTTATTTTTGGATCCAAGAGCTACCTAGGAAATTGTCCTCTTGAAAATTAATCTAGTTTGAAACGGAAGAAGGCCAGTGGCATGGTGGCTGTAACCAAGAGGGTATGAAATGGGGACAGTGCCAATATGTGTTGTCTTATCAGACTACTGCCTCTTCCCAATGTAAAACAGTAGCATGTTCTAATTAAAATGTGGGAGAAGAGTAGAGGAACAACTGTATCATCAAGGAGACAATTTCTAACACATAGGACTATTATTTATAATTATTAGCTTCATTATCCTCATCACCGTTCATAAAATATCTGAGTTCTAGAGAGGAGTTCTAAAGCGGGTTTCTTTGCAAGAGCAAGAGTCACTTCACATTAACACCAGATTCCACAGATTTTGAATTGGTTCCCAATGGGCTATTTTTACTGGAACTAAAGACAATAAGCTGCCTGCGTGTGGTGTGAGATATCTATAGATATGCATCCCCTGGGCCCTCTCAAATTTTTCTCATTAGTCCTGACTAGATCTTTTGAAACAGAAAGAGGGGTGCTGTCTTCAGTCATCAGATTAAAAAAACAAAAAGAAATAAAAAAGATGGTGAGTTTAACTGTCCACTGACATAATATACTACCCCATCCAGAGGGATTCAGGTCTTGACATAGAAATACAATGAGAATTTACCCCAAATCTAAGTATGCAGAATATAGAGTGTGGGGATGGGGAGGAATAGGAGGAGAAAATCCAGGAGATGTCATCTATTCTCCCCCCACCGTACCCTTGACTTTCCCATTCCACTTTCCCAAAGAGGGAATGAGGGAATTCTAATGAACCAAAGCTCAATGGAGGATCCATGGAGAAAGAGGTTATCTTTCCTAGTTTAATATAGTGTTAAATTAACCAAACAGGCTGCCTTTTGGGTAAACTAGCATACATCCTCCAATTTCCATTCAGATGTAATGAAATCTTTCAACATAACTCGAGTGGTCTTAATTTCCCATTTCCAGTTATTTTCTCTCCATATTTCCATTCTTAAGAATGCATCTATTTCCATTGCTTAAGTTCTCATGTCTACCAATCCAAACTTTGTAACTCTAACACTAATTTTTCAGTCAGGTTTGTTCCATATTTCCAGGATGTTTCCACCAGAACATCCTGTTTTAATTCTATAGGGGCCAAAATTCAAACTAAGGCACATTCCCACCTGAATAAACCTTTCTTGCTTTAAGTTCAGCTTCATTGCTTTCCATTACATTTCCAAATCACTCAAGCTTAAACCTTAGACCTATCTTCGAGTCTTTTCTTTACTCCTCCCCTAATAATCAGTACCATCTTTTCTTGTTATGATCGCTAGTGTTCATTTCTACACTGCCATTCCCTCAAATTTAGAGTTTTATTCTTGTACAGACTTGCAGTTTCCAACAAATTTTCAGCCTCTCTCTGTCTGTCACAATTAATTCTCTGACACTAAAGCTAAGTAAGTCTTTACAGAACCTCAACACACCATTTGCTTGAACATGTATGCTTTTTCACTGTAGCCTTTCTAATCAAGCCCAAACTTTTTAGCCCAGCATCTGAGATGGTCCATTCATTATCTGACCCTACCTTGCCTATCCAACCAGATAACACTCATTAGAACATAATTCCTGAACCCATATCTTTTGCTTTAGTCAAAGAATTCCCCCTAACGCCACCTTCTTTCCCCAAAGTACACCAAGTATTCAGAATGTCTGACTTTCCATTATCTAGATGCTACACAGCTTTCTGGACTCAATTTCAATTTCAACTTTGCAGTGAAGCATTTCCTGGTAACTTCAGAATTCTTATCCACTTTTCTAAATGTCCACAACATAAGTCATGTGAATCTAATTATACGCTATCACTTTTAAATAATTTTTTCCCACTGCTTTGTGTTATAAAGTTGCCTCCTCCTGCATTGCAAGTAGTTGGAGGATCTTGATAATGAGAAGTGGTTTTATTTGTTTCTTTAGCCAGAGAACAGTTATAAAACTATACACTATGTTTGGTGTTGAGTCTTAATTGTCACTATTTAAAATCTCTTTTTATAACTTTAAAGGTCTTAAATGTGTAACTGCATTTCTAAGAGGGAAATTTCAATGCCCCTGTGTAAGGCCTGAGGTCATTTAGTTGAAGACAAGTTGAAACAGAGTCACAAATTCTCCCTTAAGTATGTCAGTTTTGTTCAGTTCTTTGCATACTTTCCCTGTGCTGAGTTCCCCACCAGCAGACCCTGAGACAAGGATTTATATGCAGGTGATAGGAAGAAAGTGCTGCAAAGACACTTGTAGAGAGGAGGGCCAATGGGACAGTGAAGAGGAAATCAAACAAGGGTGCAATTTGAGGCAAAGTTCCAGCCTCAGCCAAATCCCAGAAGAGCTCTGGAGGTGAATTCTTCATGCACCAGTCATTAACTACAGTCTGATCTAGTGGGACATCAGTTCCCAAGTACTTCCATCCCCTATGCACTGCAAAACTCTTCCAGGAGCCCAAGGACAGACAGACTTACAGCAAACACACTGAGGCTGGAGGATGAGCCCAGAAACAGCGCATAGACTCCAAGGGAATCTGGGTGGAGTGCAGTGTCTTTATCAGGATCTTCCTGGTTCTGTAACAGAAATAACATGAAGGGCTCTTTTATTTCAAATGCCTGTATGTACATAGAAAAAAAATGTTAAAGGATACAAATCTAATTATTAATAGTCGGCTGTGAGATTCGTGAAGGGAGACTTTCACATTTGACTTTCCACATTTCTACATTATTAGACTTTTATAACAAGCATTACTGTTGTAAGAAAAAAACCTGAACAGATTTTTCCACCAAAAACTTAATGATGTATTGTTTTATTTATTATGACATGTTTTGTTGTTTGTGTTGCAAATAACTCTCGGAAAGTAACACCATCTGAATAAAAATTGATTTATCTAGGCTGTTAAAATGCTCGAGTCCATTCATTAACAAACTGCATTCTCACCAAGCATAAATGATTACCATGGTAAGCCCAGAAGGAAATAAACCTTGTTAAGACTTCCATAAGAAGTATTATTTAACTGGTTTTGTAGTCTGTGGCCACTAGAATTTTGGCTCTCATTCTAAAATATGGTCCACTAATCATATATAGCCTAATCTATATTGCAGCAATAATTTTAAGTTATCTTTAGAAGTGTAATTTAAAAGTACTTTAGAAATACAGATGAAAGGTAGAGTCACATTTGGTTATAAGGAATGTCTTGACCACTTTGAATATAATTGGGTAATAGCAATTGGTCAGACCTGTGCATTGGAAAGACTAATCTGATAGCTACATGTAATATAAATTGGAAGGGCAAAAGAATGGTAGAAGTCAGAACTCTGCCAGAATAAATCAGCTAAAAGGCAGTGAAGATGATAAATAATGAGAAAGAATCAAGCACTTGTCCTACCTTTCATATAGAAGCTGTACTACTGATAATGAAATAGTGGATGAGGGCAATGATGATTTAAAAACATTAGAGGACATATGATCGTGATAGTGGAGATAAGAATGAGCAGAAACTACTTAGGGGCTGAGGAGACAGCACAAAGATGACCGAGATAGTTCTTGTTTCAGGGATATAACGTTGAATTTTTAAGAAAATACTGATTTTAAAAAATATATACAATTTTACATTTTATATTTGTTAAGTATACCTCAATAAATCTGGGAGAAAAATAAAAGCGTCCCAGTTGATTCTAATGCGGAAAAAAAAAAAAAAAAAAGAACTAGGGCTGCGTGCACGGCATGATGGCGGTGGAGTACGTGCCTGAGGAGAAGGGACGCCGGCCGGTCAGGCCTCGGCGCGGCCCACGTGCTTGGCTAACACGCTCGCTCCCGCTTCCCGCCACACGCCAGCCACCGCGGAGGCCTCGTTCACCAGAGGCCCAGTGCGTCTCACGGAGTTGGAGCTGTACTTCCTCATCGTGCGGTACCTCTCGGCGGGTCTGTGTTGGAGAGCGGCCCAGGTACTCGTGCATGAGTTGGAGCAGTACCAATTGTTGCCGAAGAGGTTGGACTGGGAGGGCAATGAGCACAACACGAGCTACGAGGAACTGGTCTCGTCCAATAAGCATGTGGCTCCTGATCATCTGTTGTATTGCCGGCGCATTGGTGCTATGTTGGATAAAGAAATTCCACCCAGTATTTCAAGAGTCACTTCTTTACTTACCGCAGGAAGGCAGTCTTTGCTACGTACAGCGAAAGGTACCTTAATTTGAGGAAGTGCTCTGCTTCATATCAATAGCTTAATAATTATTATAATTGTGAAGTAATGTAAGCATTGTGGAAGAAAGGTGATAATGTAACTATAAATCATGCTGTGGACTATAAAATTCTCTGCATTTAGCATAGAACATTGAATTTTATTACCTAAGTGTTTAAAATGGGTCCTTATGCATTAAAAAGTTGATAAAGATATAGATGCTAAGCTAAAAAGCTTGAATTTATTCTGAGATGTGTTTGAGGTTTTATCAACGTGAGTTCCTAATTTTCCATTTTGTAGCTCACACATAATTTCATTGATGTAATTGTATGTGTCTAATAAACTCTTTAAATGCTAGAATTTCATTTGATATTTAGATTCTGAAAGCCCTTTGTTATAAAGGGAAGTGATTTTCTAAATTTGGTAGCAGCTTGAAAACAAGCATCAAAAAATGTAAAATTGCATGGTTCTTTTTTTTCCTAATTTCATTTTTTGCAAAGTTATGTGCTAGCAAAATGTTTGGAATTGCTATTCTTTTTCTGTTAGCTTGGTGATATATGACTTGGACTAAGTGTTTGTATGTGATATAATCTTTGTGTACATGTGACTAAACTGCTAATAACCAAATACTGTTGGTTTTTCTGATCCTCAGCATACATCAAGTTCATTCCATGATTTTGTTTTTATTATTATGAGCTATTGCTGATGCAACGCTGTCTCTTAGATGCACCACCAGTATTAAGGTTAACTGGGAAAGAACAATCCTCCCTCTTGGTTCTGTGCCAGACTGGTTTGTTAGCTTTAGTTGTTTCTTAGTGCCCTAGTCATGCCACACTGTGGCACTAATCAGGAAACTGTTTATATTATTCCTCTTCTGTGTCCCTATTCACTTTGTAATTATTCTATTTTAGCTGGTTATATGGTAGTTATTTAGTGGCCTGTTTTCCTTTGTTTTCTTTGCTCGTGTCAAGTTCCATGTCTTTGTTTTGTGATGAGCCGTGATTCAGAGGTGGCAGACCTTAGAAGACACTTCAGCAAGCTGCTCCAGGGTAAAGGCCATATTTTCTATTTGTTTTGTACTAGTACCACAAGAGGATGCCTTGTAACCGCTCTTTGGTCATGATTGTGGTAATGAATCCATCCATGTAAAATGCAATATGCCTGTTAGTTTGGGGCACCCGAGGCTCAATAGAGGTTTAGTATGATGCCTTCCCTCTCTCCTCTGAGTTGTGAAGAAACTAATTTCTCACAGGGTGACTGCTTATAACCTATGTTCTGCCGCTATCTCCTATAGAGGAGAACAGACTTTTTATTTTCTTAGTGCATTTGCTGGTAGGTCAAGGAGGGATGGACTTTGAATTAGTGTTCAGATTCACAGATCCTACACATGTGCTCTTCAGTAGAGGACTTTCTGTGATCTTAAAACAAAGGGAAAGCTATATAATTTATCAGTACTTCCAAAAGAGAGAGACTAAAGTCATGGCAGTGTTGGCCAAATTAATTTTGAAACTGAACAAGTCATGAATTTTCATATAAATCAAAGACATTAAATTTTTCCTCATAAGAGCTTCCGTTTTTGAAAAGTGGGATCAGTTGTAAGACCTTTTATTTTTAATACTGCATGGTATAATTCCACATTGAGAAATAAACACTTGGCATTAAATGAGACTTGGCGTCAAAAGATCTGGTTTTCTGGTCCATTTTTACCAATCATTTGCTGGGTATATCTTTAAAGGTCCTGGAACCTTTGAGTCTCAGTTACCTCACTTGTAAATTGGCAAAAATACCTACCTCAACTCTGGTTGCTGTGAGGACTCAATGAGATAACGTATGTTGAAAGCACCTTGTGAATTGTAAAGGGCTACACAAAAGTTAGTTGTTGTTGCTGCTGTATCTGAGATGTGTTAATTTTTTTTTCCTTCAGAAATAGTCTAACAAACTTACAGGGCTTTTCTATTAAATTATATTAGTTGGTAAACAGTTTATTACAATGTAAAAAAAGAATTAATATGTGAATACAAAATTTTGATATTTTAAAAGCACAGTTGCAGCAGCATTGGAAACTAAAACAATGGCATAGGAAAACATGGCGAGAGAAGAAAAAAATACCTAGAAGGGCAAATATTAACAGAATCAAACTTTATCAGAGAAAAAAAATGGCCTCAGATTCTTACTTTGACGTTTCTGACTGAATTTTATACCTTTTCAATCGGCACTTCTAAGAAGTTTGGCACAAATTTGAGGAATGCCAAATTTGTCAAAGACTCCTCAAAGACTAAGCAGTACCTATATCCGAGTTTAAGTTAGCCAGAAAGCAGAGTTACCCATAATACCACTTTCTTTTACTTTTCCCTTCCAACTTTTATTTTAGATTCAGGGAATACATGTGCAGGTTTGTTATATGAGTAAATTGCATGTCACAGGATTTGGTGTGTGTACAGATTATTTCATCACCCAGGTAATAACCACAGTACCCGATTACTTTTTCTATCCTCACTCTCCTCCCACTCTCCACCCGCAAGCAGACCCCAGTGTCTGTTGTTTCCTTCTTTGTGTCCATGTGAAATAGTAAATTTTAAATATAGGTGGATTTAGACATAAGGATATTTGGCAGGCAATGGAAATAGGTGCCTGGGGCTTTGAAAAGGTTGAAAATGTAGATTTGAGCCATCACTAAAAGGGTGATAGAAGCTACAAGAGTACATAAGATAAGCAAAGGACAAACAAAACTGGAGAGAAAGAACAGGGAATGCAATCATGGATAGTACTTGGAAGACAATTGGGAGAGGTTACTTAGGGGTGGGGAGGATTTAAAAAAGTAAAGCATCCCTGAAACCAAGAAATGAAGCTGATCTTCGAAAATGTAAGGGAAGAATATTTTGTAAATGCAGAATATTTTGTTGATTTTTCACTGTAAAAAGTTGACTTATAAAACAACTCTATTTTCCATCAATTTTCACAGCTCGAGAATTAGTCCCAGAAAAGATAAAAATTATTTTTCTACCGGACACAGCGGCTCATTCTTGTAATCCTGGCACTTGGGAGGCCGAGGCGGGTGGAACACAAAGTCAGGAGATGGAGACCATCCTGGCTAACACGGTGAAACCTCATCTCTACTAAAAATACAAAAACCAAATTAGCCAGGCGTGGTGGTGGGCGTCTGTAGTCCCAGCTACTCAGGAGGCTGAGGCAGGAGAATGGTGTAAACCTGGGAGGCGGGGGTTGCAGTGAGCCAAGATTGCACCACTGTACTCCAGCCTGGGGGACAGCGAGACTCCATCTCAAAAAAAAAAAAAATATTTTTCATTCTACATTATTGAGAATTAAAATTACTCAAAGAAATATATTGCATTTTATCTGGCTAAATTCCCCCCAGAGAATACAACTCTTGTTCAAAATGTATTCAAATTACCCCTTTGTCATCAATGACAAAATTTCGAATTCTGCAACCTTTGGTCTACCCAGGAAGGAATTAAACCTTTTCTTTTGAGTTACTAAAGATTTCATGGTCTTAAAGTATAAGCTAACATAAACACACCAAATATAGCATGCAATTGTGAGTCAAATAATTTGAGTCAAGTAACCAAGCTGGAAAACACAAACTGGGGTAAGCAAATATAAGAAATTATATGAGGATCCAGAGGTGTGCACCAGTTGACAAGCCATGTTTAGGTACAGGAAGGATACAGACTTGAGAAAGAAGGGAAAATTTCACAGGTTAGAGCATACAAGCAGAGTCTAGCACATGAATGATATTCACAGCCTTGGGATCATGGTATCCTGTTGCTCTCGCCTGATCTATTCCTCACTCAAGGGCTTACTACAGAGCCTTGACCTGAATTGTCCTACATCTTTTAGCATCTTTAGATGCTAAAACTTCCAGAAACCTTTAAATTTAAGTATTCAATTTATTACTCATCTTCAGATTACTAATATTTGTTCCTGTCTCATGTTTTTTCCTAGCAGCTCATACCCTGATCCAAAATTCATATTATACATATTTTTTTCTTTTTGGCACTTTACAGATTGTGCTATTAGCTATTTTCAGAAATCCGATTAAACCTTAGACCCTATATTTAAAGTTTAATATTTTTATCATCACCACTGAATTATTCTGTGGTATGAAAGTGACCCAAATTTTCAACATGAAATATATTTGTTATCCTGCCTATTTGCAGTTTGGGAAATCATTTTCACTGCTCAATGGCTTGTATCATATAGGTGTTACTTGTATTATTTTAAGCACCTATATACATCCCTGTTATTAAAGTGATTCAAATAAATATACTTACTGAATGTTTGAAGGAACTTTATAACATTTTTCCAGAAACATCTGTTCAATGCCACTAGATTCTATGTTTGCACCACCCAAAGCACGCTATAGTATACTTGAGAGTTGAATCGCGCCATTGATTTGGTATAGTTTTTGTACATGGACTGAGAAGTAATTTTATTCTCCTTGTCATTCAACATTTTCAAGGATTCATCAGCAATAGCTTTGTATAATTTGCTCTCTCTTTTTGAGAAGTAAAAGAAAAAATTGGACATGTAGGTGTTGCCATCCTAAATAGAAAATTAATTCTATGTAAATCTGATAATACGTGTCAGGATAATAATTCTTAAAGTATCTAAATTATTGACTGTTTTGGTAAGGACTATGTATCAATTTTTCATAAAACATATTGACATGTTACTGATTTATATGCCAATCCCCTGTTACTTGGCACCATAGAAAAGTTCTTTGTGTAAGATAAGGAATAAGGAGGAGTATGAAATCAGAGCCTGCTCAATATGCTAAAACTTCAGTTGATCTATTTATAGAAGTAAAGTGATTCAGATCAAACAGCAAATCTCTGCTTATTTTCTTCCCTTGCCCACTAACAATCTCACATACTCACCAGCATATATTCCACCTTTGCATATGTGACAAATTCAGGACAGTTTAATATAATTCTGCAAACATGGATTGAATTCATTGTATATGTGCATTGTTCTTTGCACTACGAGAAGGCAGAG